ATGAAATATGTAGCTTTTGGCAACAATAACAAGAAACACATTATGAATATTTGTCTCTAACATATTCACAGAGAGAAAATATAAACATTAAGTTGGCATTTTAAAAATATTTGGGGTGGGGGTTTCTTCTTCCAGTCAATCAGATTGTGAATAATATTTGTCAATAACATTTGTCGAAATGGAAAAATATATGAAGAAGAAAACAAACAGTTGAATGATGCTTGTAAATGACATGAGCTTCTGACGTTAAGTATAGAGAGTACTTTTGACCAGAGCATAAAATCGTCACTCATTCATAGCGCTTGCTGAGAGTCGCTCCTAGCTATGTGATGTTTGTGTGATTACTGTCGTTTGTACTAATATAGTATGACCTCAGGAGCGGTTCACTAATCGCTTCTGTCGTAATGCGCTTGCTAAGTAGGCGCGTTGCCCCACAAATGCGATTTCATGCTTTGATTTTGACGAATCATTGAAAGATATATGAAAAAAATCTTAAAAAATCTTATGAAATTTTCCATAATGCACACTTGTCAGTGAAAGAAGTATCGATGCTTATGTGATTATCAATGGTACTCCATGAAGTCAATTGTAAACATAACGCGATCCGTTTCCATTCACACCACGGTGAGAATATTCATGCGAATGCCATTGCATTGTTGGTCGGACGTCGACAAGGTTAATAGAGTGTATGGCTAATCAAAATGCAATCGGTGACGATGAAATTCACGCTATCACATCTCATTATCATTTGAAGTGAACCATCAAAAATGCGATGCAGTCGGAAAAAAGTTTACGAGTATTTAAGTTCATTTGAAATTATCTCTCATTTATGTGTGTCTGTGTCTGTGTTTGTTTTTTCCAACATCTTTTGTTCACTTTCGGAGGTCGAAAGTAAGACAAAGTGCTTGTTCTTCATTGTCTTGATTTCGTTGTCGAGTGCATCAGTTTGCAATAATGAACATAAAAATAATATAGAAGAATGTACGAAATTTTCGGATGGAAAAAGAAAAGCGGACGCGATTGTTGAGAGCGAAAAAGAAACTCATTTTAGATTATCAGTGAAATGAAAATGTGTATACAATTCCAAGAAAGTCCACCGGATGAAGATATGGCGGCGATGGAGATAGATGAAAAAAACAAATATCTATATATAAAAAGCGACAGCAGCGCGGTTCTTGAAAATCGTGATGCATTTTATAAGAGCTTCCTTAGAATGTCCGTGCTCAGACAATCCTTTATAATTCATTCGTTTCCGTTGCTTCTCATTACGATTTCGAATTCTCTCTTGCTCGCCATCTACGCCGAAGAGTAATGCTTTCGTGTATGTGTTGTGCATCGAAAATAACGTTTCACAACACTTAGCTTTATTAAAAGCACTTTTTTTTCTTCGTTTAGCACTGTGCAAGAAGAATATTTGCTCGTTATGGGGATCAAAATGAAGCGCTTCCAAATACAACATATATACAAATAACAGTTGTTTTTTTGTTGCAGAGTGAAAAGGAGGCAACATTACAGAGATATGGTTAAATCGGAGATGAATGCCGACAGACACACATACATACACACACAGAGACAGAGAGAGACCACCTAAATGAATTCTGTTTGTGCAATAAAGTCGCTCGTTGATGGAGAGGCGAAAGTGTGCGATAACGCTTACATGCACAAGCTCGTAACACTTATAGCTCATAGCAAAACTACACATTACAATGACAACAACGACGACGACGACGACGATGATGATGCAAGAAAATGGAGAACACCGAACACTCTTCAAATGTGAACGAAAGAGAGCGAGGGTACAAGGGAGCGCCAAGTGAAGGCAAACACAAAAAGAAATATAACATGAAAATTAAACAAAATGTGAAGAGGAAACGAAAAAGAGCGAGAGAAATAGAAAATCATCGCACATAAAAGAAAAGAACAACAACACCAAAAAATTGTCCAACTTTTTTTTCGCTCGTTCGTATTTCGAATTAAATTCAAAAATTGCGAAAATGAATATAAAAACATACTAAAAATGAACGTTTCAACTTTCTTTTGTTTGGCATATTGGTGAGACACATAAAGAGCGAATACTCTTTGCTGCAGCAATACTAGTGTCGCCTTAACTCTCGCATCTCATTCAATTTACTTGTGTGTGTGACAGAATTTTGCTTTTTTATGTTTAGCACACATACAGACATTGTTGTGTTACAATCAGAACTAACATTTCTATAATAATATTCCATATTTGTGTTTACCCCCATCGGTTGATGTGCGCGTTTATTTTGTGTTGTTGTTTTTTCGCATCTGATATGAAGAAGAAAAAAAACGATGATGGGTTTATACATTTTTTGTGTGTTGCCGTTGTTGCCTTGAGATAAAGGTTGCTGTTCATCTTTTGTTCGTTTAAATTACTTTCGGCATGCATTACACATCTTTTATATCAAAGGGCCACGGGCTTACATGCACCCATTACTCCACTATACCAACTAATAATGATTGCGTTCGTTTTTATTCTTCTCGCCATCCCACACCCCACTCTCGTTGCACTCTTTCGAATATTTTAATATGTGTCGTTCTTATTAGTGAGAATTGAGCGAAGATGGTGTGTGCGCAAGCAACAGCTTCGCTATCATCAGTGTCTCTCCAAACAAAAATATAGTTTACATTTTACACAGCGACTTTTATGGGTGCAAGTACATCTTCATCGTGTGCATTTTTTCTCGAATTCCATTTGTGCTTTATGTTCATCAACAATTTTTTTTTGTATGTGTGTGTTTGATGATGTTCTTGTTGTTATTGCTCACTCTCTCTTTATCTGTTGTCTTGACTTACGTACTGTTTCTTTACTTTGCGCTGCAACCATTAACTGTTCTGCATACAATATTTGCAGAAATATATAGATTGCAATGGGAATTGCGCATTGCATGGTTTCACTCTTCTTTTCTTGTTCTTGGCATTATTCGAATTCGTTGCGAATGAAAAATGAGTAGTCGGATGGTTGGGCAGGGACAGATGGGTGAAACAAATGTTTTTTTCTTTCTCTTCTTTTGTGCAATCTCTATCTATACCGCATATAACAAATGTTTTAATTTTTTCCAACCCAAGGGTTTTGCCATCATCTAACAGCGAACTTGGAATGGAATTGCAATATAATGTCTGCAGATCAAGAAACATATTGTCATTGATGAAAAATGAAGCGTAGTAATTTAAAACAATCAAATCGAAATTGACGTACATAATGCATTCATTTTGTGCATATCGTAAATTGTACATATAGCCAAAGAGTTCATGAATATACCGATATTCCAAGTGGAATGGATATATGTGAGACTGTCTTACCGTCACCCGGAGCTCCGTTTCACTTTTATCATTTTCAATTTCAATTTGAAATTTGTTAAAATTCGCAAGCACATATTGAAAAAATTGAATGGTAGTACATGAATTAAATGCATATAAACATTAACTTAAAATGCATCTGTTCAATCATGAAATTACTAAAGGTTTTAATGAAACCAACTACAGACAAACACTCAATACAACAACGCAAACAATTTACCGATGTGGCGATCAAATATTGTGCTTGTACGTTTGCAATTTCAAATGGTTTCGAAATAAACATTCCTAACGCTTCTTCTTCTTGTCTATCGCGTTCCAAATCGATTCGTACATTGCAAAAATAAAAAAATTAAACACAATCTCATCTTCCTTAAAAGTTAGTAATAAAAATGGCATTGGACGTGTATTAAATGGCACACACAAGACTGACATTCACCTAATAAAAATGGAATCGCGAAAAATGGCACGACAAAACGACCAATACAAATGAAAAACCATAAGAATGAAATTGAAGCAACAACAATACGATGCACAATATTACAAAGTTTGGATGCGGCCAATGATATAGACGTGTGAGTATATGTTGGTTTATGTCATAAGTTGCGAAAACGAAGTCACACAATGTTACAAACCAAATGGATTGACTTGGTCCATCAAATGAAATCCATAAAAGTGTGTTCATTGGTTCGTTCGTTCGTTCGTAATGAAAATTGGATGAATAAAATACAACACAGTACAAAATTGTTGCGATGTGTGCGCAATTGCATGTTGTACATTCGTTCTCATAAAAAATACAATGAAAAATTATGTGAAGAGCTTTTGCACACACACCAGTGGTAATAGTAGCAGAATCACTACCGTCGCATTCAAACTCTGGACACACGAACAATATTCTCTTTTTTATTTTTACATTTGGATTGTTATATCCGGCGATAATAAAGACATAAAATCACTCGAAACAGCAACAAATTCATCTTAAAACTGATGGATGCGCTCTTACGCAAGCGAATCGACCAAAAAAAAGCAACCATATAGATAAAATGTTGGAAAATAGACCAAAAAGTTACCACCAAGCACAAACTCAACGAAATCCAAACGTTAAAAAAAACGGTACACGTGTTTCGCAAGTTGATTGGCAATTCCGTTGCACTCATTGGAAATGATAACATAACCACGAAATGAGTAAGCCGAAACAAATCCTCTATCACAATTGAAAGAAAGCGAAGCGATAGAGAAGGAGCAAAACGGCTCCATTCTCGGTACTTTGCAAACTGATTTCATCATCAGTGGGATCATACAACCAACATTTTGGCCTCAAATACCTTACAATTACACGATAGAAAACTAATCAAAAATGAATAAAATCGTTTGAGCTGCTGCTCTCCTTGGCCATTTCAACTATTACGATTATTATTATGGTTGTGTGAATTTGGATATGTCTGCTTTGATTCCCTTATCTTCAAATCATAGAATCTAAGCCGAGTGGGTCATGAATATGTCCATACGTCAATATAGAGATGTCTTGTATGTCTTCTCTTTTTATGTACGTATCTATTTTTTTTCTCTACCTTTTAACTTGTCTGAATGTCATTTTGCAGGGCGTTTAAGCGACTGCAAATAATAATAATGTGATAAAAAAAAGAAAGACCAAAGAGTAAGTAGACACACACGGAACTTACCTTGAATCGGAACATAGATGTTCAAGTTCAAACAATCTTCGGCTTGATTTTGCAGGTATGGCAAAAGCCGACGTAAATATTCCAAGCGACCTTTTGGCATTTTTTCCAGAGCAGCCGTTTCGTTTGCAATGTTTGGCAATCGCTGCGGGCACACGGGACCGAATCTATAAAAAAAAGGTAAACGAATGATCATCAAGGAAAGAAAAATCTACAATGTTTTAAAATATTTTCGAAATAGATATGTATCGTTTGAAGAACGTGTTTACAGATAAAACAAATACCTATGCCTGACAGTGTCGACCTTAATGTTATATTGCAATTGAAAAAGTATGAATGCGTGACTTTTACTTTAACCTAACCTTTGTCGCAATTGTCAGATTCAATGAGACGGTGTTGGTTTGGTTTTAAACATTCATTTATGTTTGTACATCCACAATTCCACACAAGTTTCAATCAAAATGGAGCAGAAAATGTGTTTAAGTTGAAAAATTGCGCTTCAAATGAAAAATGTATGCCACTTGATGTTGTGGACAAAAGAGCAACCGAGTGAGAGCTTGTGAGAGCCATTCAAAGCAACATCGGTAATGGTCAAAATGTGTAAGAGGTAAATCACTGCCGGACGAAAAGCTCTTGAAATAAAAGTGTAAAATGACCAAGAAATGGAACATGCTCAACAATTATGCAATGAGATTTTTTCTGTTTTTTCTCTCTCTCTCATCCTCGTTCTTTCACGTTCTCTTTTTCTATCTTTTAGCCCCCGGTGAGATGATGGTCATTTGTTCGCTTAAGGGTATGTAAATCTATCATGTTGCTGTATTTAGACCATTTGCAATCCATCACCTCTGTTATCTCATCGGTACTAATTTTCTATGACTAACATTTGCCGTTCGCAATATATATTTTTTTTTCGCTTCACCTTTGACAAGAAAGGTGTCCTTGTAAAGGTACCTCAATTTGGACAAATTGAAAAAAAGACAAGCCTTAAATACAAATCAAGTAACAATGCCAAAGCAATTAATGTGGAACACAATAGATGGTGAGCATGAGGAGAAATGGTGAAGGGAAACAGGTTGACTATTTAAGTACCATTTAAATGAGGAAATCCGGTGTATGCTATAAATATCACAGAAAACTTGTGGCTTTTCAAGTGCTTTTTTCATTCATATATCATGTATATTTGGTTGCTCAATGCTCATACACTTTGGCCCAATTTTATATTAATGAAACCGCTACGCAGGGCGGCTATATAATAATATCCTATCGAAATGTCAATTTGGTGTAAATTCAATTAAACGCCATCATTTGATCAACAATTTTATTGCCTTGCGCTATACGAAGTACGCTTGAACGTGGAGAGTGAATTTTTTTCTGCTTGCTCAGTGTGGCAAATCAATTTAATAAGTGCGCCATTGTTAAACTTCAAATATAATTAAATAAACAGATAGCGAAAAGCATTGTTGATTCTACCGTACAATATGCCAAACTGAAATGAGCCATCTATTTCCCCATGCAAAGTTAGAGATAAAATAACCGACAACTGCTGTGTTGCCAGAGCATGAAGAGCAGACGAAGTAACAGCCATCACAATGAATCCATTTACTGCTGAAATTCTGTTATTCCATTTTGCTGAATTGTGTATCTTTCTCTTTCTCGATCTCTATCTCTATATCTCGCTCCTCTATTGATTTTTGTTATGGTTATGCATCAATGCGATGATTTTCCTCTCTCTCTCTTCGCTCTTGATCTGTAAATGGAAAATGATTTCTCTTATTTATTCATTCCATTCGTTCAAGCACTATTGTCTGATGAATCGTTGTAAGTTACAACATCCGAGCGTGCATATGTGTATGTGTGTGTATGCATTGATACAATATTTTCTATTGTGGTTACACTCACTGATAACCAACTTCAAAATCGATACTGGCAAATTGAAATTGCGAGCAAAGGCGTGTGCAATCTAGAATCTTTAGCCACATATATTATTTTATGTTTATATGTTGCTATCTATATATTTACATTGTTGACGCAACCAAAAACAATCAAATACTTATATTCATAACATTTTCCGATATGTATTGCAGACTTTGTTCCAAAGGTTGTTCGATTAATAATGATCATAAATTTACGATTGACGTGAACCACATTTGCTTCGCAACGATGAATTATATTTTCACTCGACGAAATGAATTCGTCAATATTTTATGTTTTATTTCGATGATTGAATTTCATGCATTCACATGGTTTCCACATCACTCCTGCAAAACTTCAAACTTTTCTTTTGATTTAAAAAGAAGAAAGACCATGTTATCTTTTGCAGCGCAACACCAAGCAAAAGGATGAATGAACGAGAAATAAATTATTTGTCGAGTTGATTTTCAAGCGTCGAAATGCTTGAGTACCGCCGACACTCATATTTCAATTGAAGACAAAAGTAAAGATCTGACGAAGCGTGACGTACAACTGTTTTGGAATCCAACTGGAAATAATCAAATCATAACACACAAACGCACTCCGCGCGCGCGGAATTTTCACATGCGAATTACGGCGAATGTGCGTATTGCAAAGTGTAAACGGTAAATTTTTGCCAACAATGCTCATATGAATCATATATACCCGCACTCAAATGCTTTAAACCAAGAATGAATAATAGAACAACAGAAAAAAGGAAAAAAAGAACAAAAAATTCCGGAAACATTTCGAAAATGGATTGGCATGAACAAATAAAAAAAAATGATGATTCACTTTACATTGTTTCATTTCCATTATATGTTTGTATGTGCCTGCGTGTATATATATTTATTGATTGTGAAATGTGAATTCACTTTGGCGTTCATGTCATTCAAATACGTTTACGTCATTTTATTTCGATTGGTGTGTTAAAATGTGTTTACCATACAAATCGTGACAATTTGACCTATGTTGATTTCACATTCGAAAGCATAAATACCATAAATATAAATTGCACCCATACACACACATTAGTTCTGCAATCGATAATGCTGCAAAATTGAGTTAATCTAGAGATACAAAGCCAAAATTGTTTATTTAACAACGAACATGTCGATTCGCATTTTCGTTGTAAAATCGAGTTTCAATCATTTATTTGAATTGTGCGTGTGTGCGTGTATGCTTTTCGGATGGATATGGAAATGGATAAACACGATTCTTTCGGGACAACAGGAAAACAAATGTTACCCAAATGACATTGACAAATCTTCAACTCGTTGTTTTTTTTTTAAATGAATGTTTCGTTCAATTTTTCATGTTATTCTTTTAGTCAAACTGACATAATTTCAATTGAGGAAGTATTTGAAATGTAGAAAAATTTAAACTCGAATAAGAATTTATTGCCTATTAGGAATTCGATTTCATGCGCGGCATTGTGACATTCAGATCGATTGCACCAAAATTACTTATGGGACTTCAATGTATGAAATTCGTTCGATGGCACTAACAACAGGCAACAAAAAAAAACGTTGATCCAATTTTCCAACGAATTCTCTTCTTTTGGAAAATATGATCGAAGACTGATATTTGTTTCTTTCTCTTTCATTCTGTTTGTGATCTGAGAATTCGTTTTTCGTGCAAAAAATGTGTAGCTCAGAAATATAATATGGTTGTGTTTGTGTCGTTCGTTTTTTCACTTACAAACAATAATAAATGAAAGAGCTTCCAATGTAATAGTAAACTGCATAATTTCGATTTTCCTCTCTTTCAAATAACACACCAACAGCAAAAAAATATAAAGCGAATTCGACCCGAGTCTATATATTTTGTGCACTATTACGGCTTCTTTTTTTGCCGTGTGGCAGATAGAAAGAGCGAACAAAAATGAATGCTCGAAATTTTCCATTTGGCTTTTCGTTTCTGGATTTTTCTTTTCCCCACTGAGCTTGCAACAATGTGTGATCAATAAATTCGTCCGGTTTATCCGATTTTGTCAACATACTTCCTAATGGATTCGCTTTTTGCTTGACTTTTCTCTTGTTATTCTTTTCTTCAGCGTTTCTCGTTCTCCTCGCTCTTTCTATTGCCGAAAAATAATTTTTTCCTTGTACAACAACCTCTCGTGAATTCGGTTTCCCTTTGTCATTTTACAGCTTTTTCGGATTCATGTTTGTTATTCAATCGATGGTGTTTGTAAACACAAGTGTATAAAATGTGTATGTAGTATACATGCACACATATCATACGATACATCCATATATGGCAAATTCGATGTGACATGAACAGGACAAATGAGCGACATGAGAGTGAAGAAAAGAGAATATTTGACTGATTCTATCGTGTGCATTGTTTCCTTTCAAGTTTATTTAGCTGACGAAATTCGGTCTTCAATCTCGCCCTCGCCGTCTCTCTGTCTTTATGTATAAAACTCATTCACATCGCTGCAAAATCGGATTTTCTGCTACACATATTTGGATTTGTTGTTCTTTTTAACTCATTGCTTTGTCTATTTATCCTCAGGTAGTCACACAAACACATTTCAATTCAGCTACGACGAATTCAATTTAAACCTGTTAATGCATCATTTTTATTGGATCGTCGTCAGCACACCCGCTGAAAATGTTGTTGCCACTGCTGATTTTCTTGTTTTTTTTATTAAGTTTATGCACTGGTATCCGAATTTGCGCCACGGGGGATAAGCATGGATTTTCGTTTTCCATTTGCAATTTGACGTTGTTTTTTTGCCATCGGGAGCTGGTAACGCCAATAAAAAAATTCGAACGTTTGTAAGCGTGTAATCCAAAGGATGATTTTTAATTATAAATGGGAATATGTGATTGCAGGCTTATATAGTTCCATCTAACATGCTACTGTCAATGCCATTGCGCATTCAAATAAATGTCAAAGACGAAAAATAGAGTAAATGGTTAAATTGCTCACTTCAAGTAAATTCCATTGTTTTTCATCTTCTTTCGTTGTCTTTTTTTGGATAAATGAGTGCACGGAAAGTATTGATTTTCAAATAAAAATGTTATTTAGTAATCCTAACAATCAAATCACATTCCCGGCACTCTTGTTCACACATTTGTTATTGCTAGACGACGAATTTCCGCGTGCAAACACAGCCATATTATCGTTTTTTCCCCTCTATTTATCCATCCATTTATCATGGTTTTTCTGTATACATGTGTGTGTGTGTGTCCAATGCATAGCCTGG